TTAGTTTATTACTACGTACTAAGTACTTATTGTTACGACGTCGTTAGTAGTAGTTAGTTTATTTTATTTTGTTTTACTACTCTCTCTTTTTTTTTTATTATATATATATATATATATAGAGGGTGTCAAGAAATTCCACATTGACAATTCATTCGTTTTTTTTTATGACTGGTAATTTACATCACATAAACCTCAAATAATAATAACTTCTGACCATTGTATAATGTACTTGTTTTGGGTTCTTGCAGATTAATATTTTCATAGTTATTAATATCAATTCTTCAAAGGTTTTTGTTTGTTTTCCTCTCATTCTTCAATCCTTTTAGATATCTCAAGCAGCTGTTCTTTGTTATTTTTACTTTCTCATTTGGTTTAAGCACCTAATTTTTAGTCTATTATTTGTTTCTTGCCTAAAACAATCAGACTTTAACAATGCTCAAGCAAATAATTCAAAAAAATAAAATCCACCACTTACAATTAAATAAAGCTCCAGCCCAAAGGACTTAATTGTGACTAAAATTTTGAATCTTCCTCATCCTGAATAATAATGAGGCTGCTAGTGAAAACAAAAGTGTGATTACAACTTTACAAACTGCGTTAAGATACAGTATAGTTGGTGGGGAAACCAATTTAGAAAGTTTCATAATACATATATTAAAATTTTTTTATATAACTTTATTATATATATATATATATATAATCTATATAAAAGTTTTATTAGAAGCTATGAAATAATGGTTCTTCACGTCATGGAAATGGAGTTATAATACAGTAGAGACTTATTGGGCACTGAAAAAAGAATTTGTGCTTCTCATTTACATTGTATGATAAATTATTTAGGTTTAGTCACATGTGTCAAAAAATGTAAATATGATATATGGATACTTTTTTAGTTTTTAAAGATAAAAAAGATGTATTTTCATGGCTACGAAAAATAAGTATTTCTTTGAAATACACATCTAAAGAAAAGGCCCTTTTTTTGGGTTTAACCGTAATATATCAAGCAATTGGCCATCATCATCATATTTAAAATGTTTTAAATAAATGTTTCATGTAATAAATCTTCCATGTCTTGTGGACTACTAGTTTACAAGTACAATATTGTCACAGCTGGTTCATTTGCCATTGTAGAAATTTTACTATAAAATTAGCATTTATTAAAACTGTAAGATGAAGTAAAAAGTAGTTAAAAACATAAATTAACATTGTATAGCTGCTTTATACTAATTTAGTTTATTTAGCCTGAATTTATCTATCTATTAGAAACAGTTAGTACTAAGGCGATGTGTATACTGTGAAGTGAAACAACTACGTTTAAAATGCATTTTAACATATAAGAAATTATAATTTCTATTATTTTATGTTGAACATATTGAGATATTTCTTGTTGGTTTGTATTACATTTGAAAGAGTGCTCTTCTTCATGATTTTTATTGTATAAAAAAAGAAATTGATTTCTAGCAGTTAGTGCTCTAAATTTAATTTTATGTATAAAATTATATATATTAAGCCTTTTATTTTCTTTGTAAATACGGAGTGAGAAAGATTTTGTGGTAAACACTTTTACCAGTCTTAGTGCTGAGAAGTTAAGAGAGAACTGTAGATGAATTATGACAAAATTTTGATACTTTTTGTAATTTTTAGGCAGCTGGAGCTGTGCGACCCCTAGTTTCAACAGTTTTAAGAAGTGACGAAATGGGTTTTATGGAGGAGGCATTAGACAGAAGTCAGTACTGTGCTAGTGAAATGCCTCAAGCTTTTGTTTTGAGTTTGATCAAAGAAGCTTATAATATGGTATGGAAGAATAGTCTTTTATTAATATAACTATAACACTGTCTTTGGTAATTGCATGTTTCATCTTTTATTCTGTTTGAACATTAAAATTTTTAATTAATTAATTTTTCAATAATTTCTTTATTTGGTTTGATTAGGAAATAAAAAATCAGGTGTTAATATTAATAAGTTTTATTCTTTAAGGTATACATTCCTCTGTCATATTAAGTCAAAATTCTAATATATAAACTAATATTTTTTGGCATTTAGGTCTCAACTGGGAAGAGTGTAATGACTAAAGTTAATTAATTGGCTCATTAATTAATTAAACCACATACATGTTTTCCCCCATAAAGCAAAAAAAAAACATGAATGTGCAGGTGTAAAAAGTTTGTGCATTATTCCAACATGATATTAATCTTTCTATTTTCACCTAGTTTTTCTTTTAACTTAATTTTTGAATTACCCTTCATATTATAAACATCTTCTGGAGGTCACCATTTGTGCATATTGCAAGAAAATATTTTTGGCTAAAAATGTCATTTTGGTACAAACGTTTTTACAGATAATCTAGACATCACTACTTTGTGCATTGCTAATATCAATTAGAGATGACCAAGAGATTGCCATTTTTTAAGTTTTCAAAATATTCAATAAGCCCCCCCCCCCTTGATTTTTTGTAAATCAAATAAATTGATAATTAAATAATGAAAATATGTTTTACTATCACTGATATGAGTAATAAGGTTTTTTATTTAAGATATATCATGATTGTAAATAGAAATAATTAAGTAGCCAGTTAGCCAATTTATTTATGTATGTTGTTTTAATAGGATAAACATAATACTCAATAAATAGAGATTTGAGTCAAGAATGCTTTGCGGTCACCTACAATACTTACTCAACTAAGCTTATTTGATTTGGTTAATATTATTTAACAACAGCCTTACTCTCCTTGATCTTAAAATCCTCTTCGTTGTCAGAACCAGACTAACACACTGAAGTTTTCACCCACTGCTTTGCTTTGACAATTGCTCTCTAGATGTCTGTAAGTACATGAATTTATGGCTGAAGTTGACTGTAGATGCTCTTTGATATGTTGTTCCAAGCAGCGAGTTTGAGAACCAATGTAATCTTGACTACAGCAAGAACAAACAAAACTATAACAGCATAAGAGTATTAAAAAATTGCCAATTACATCCTTGAATATAAAAAAAGTTATCTATTTGTAGTGCAAGACTGTAATGTTCTTACCCATGTACAATAGTCTAACGTATAACAAGTGTATGGGTGTATCATAACACACTTTACAAAGGGTATTAACTGCCATCAGAAACTTCTTAATCACCTTATTAATCAAGGACAAATGAATACCATTTTATGTTTTCTCCAGGTCTTTTGGGAAAACAATAGTTTTTGTTCACAATGTGATGAGTTTTTTAAACTTAATGAAGTTTATTTTGTAGCTGATAGGTGTAAAGTTACTTATGACTATACAATCTTGTGTACATAGACTTATGACAAGTAACTACTTACAAATATTTGCCAAAGTTATCAGTTTCGAGATCAAGAAATCATATATTAGAATTACTTTCTTCCTCAAAAGGAAAATTTATAAAGGAAAGCTTTTTATTCAGATATTACAAAAACAATTAACATGCTCCTTTCTCCTAACTATAACAAAAGTATTATCAATATACTATGATACTTAATAGGTTTAAAACTATCAGGACAATCTTTATTAACCATTGTTTCCCATAATGAGCTATGAAAAGATTTACAAGGTTAGATGCCAGTTTGGAACCCATGCCAACTCCATCTATTTGATCATAAATAGAATTGTTAAAAATGAAATGCAATTCCTTGGTGCCAAAATCTAACAATTTCTTAAACACTGACTTTGTTAATCCTTGAATTTAGTCCTATATTCAAACTCAATGTTGGAAGTTAATTGAATAACCTCACATGAAATAATATTAGTATACAAGGATACAATATTAAAACTAGCACAAAAAAAACCTATTCATCGAATTTCAACTTTCTCATATCTTCAAATATTTTAAAAATCAATTTTTTACTGTATACTCACTTTTTATGAATTTCTCTAGAAAAGTATTTAAAAATCCAGTAAGTTTATGGTTAGAAGTCCTGATACTAGATATTTTTGGTCTGATTGTGCAACCAATTTTATGAATCTTAGGTAAAACATACAAAACACACAATGAGGTTCAGATGGTCTTAATATCATTATATACCTTGTTACTAAGTGCATGATTTTTCTTCAGTCTTAGAAAGTATCATTGAAGTTAACCTTCCCTTTTTTTTGGTGGTATCAGAGTTTAATTTCTCAAATTTAGTTAGCAACTTTTTTCCCAAAGTCTTCCCTATTTAGGAGAACTGTACCATTACCTTTATCGTGTTTTAATATAACCAAATCATTCTTGTCTTTTAAAAGTTTAATTGCCTCAGATTCTTACTTAGAAATGTTTGATTCTTTTATACGTGTAAAAATAGGATAATTTTAAGCCAAAAATTTCAGTAGTTATACTATCCAAAGTAGGATTGTCTTTCAATCTTTTCAATAACTTTTCTAATTCTGATACCATCACTCATCTCTGTATACAGAAAACTATTTTTCTCTTGAAGTCAGGCTATCTGCCTGAGAAGCTTGCATGCCACTAGCCTTATGAAAACTCCCACCTAAAATTCACACGAATGTGAAATGTGAAATTGCACTATTGTATGGTGACATATCATGCAGCAAAACCCTCCACCAACAGGAGTGTGACACACCTCATTGTGCAAATACTTCCTCCACATTTATGCACAAAAATCCTCAATCTCTTCCTTGGCACAATCATGCAAAAATGTGTTTATTTTTGCTGAGACTTGAAGTATTTTACTTCAACAAATTTATTTTGTGTATTAATCTTTCAATATGAATTCACAATTTAACATGAATTTTTATTCTGCTGAAGTGAGTACAAATCTCTCTCACAGTTACCAACAATTCAGGAAGTTCTTTGCCTGTAGAGATTTAGGTAGCCATCGTGCAACATTTGGTGGGGTCCAAGTTGCCGACATGACTCTCTTCTTCGGTCCCTGCCACAACATTCCCTTTGCTGGATTTTGAATCTGAAGTTGAGGTGGATGAAGTTTTTTTTTACCTCCTGTTTTTACCTAAATTACTTCCATTCCTTCTGAAGAACACATTCATTCCTCTTCCGGTTTTCTAAGAACTTATTTTTAGGTATGTATCATTCTTTTTCGTCACCCCATTACATATAATGCTTCCCAATCCCTTGTGCAAAACCTTTCCCCTCATGAAATCTTGGTTTTCTGCCCTCCTCTGATATTTCAATTCGTGTTTCATCCTTTATAGAACATATTCGTTTTTGCTATATTATGCCATGTCTTTCCCACCTGACAGTTTCCTACTTATTTAATGAAGACTACTTACTTACAGTCCTTCTTCCTTCCTTTCCAGGACATCCTATCCTTGTAGTCATATTTTCTGTCTGGGGAATATACTCTCTGTAGGATGTGTCACTGTCCAGTTCCCAAATTTCTCAGCTTTGTGCTTTCTTTATTACCCTCCCTCTCTCCATTTCATGATGGGGTATTTTATTGTTCCCCTAATGAATTTATGAGTTTACAGGGAATGCTCAGACCCTTCCTTTCTTTTTCATGGCACCTTCAACTTCTTCTGCACTTCTCACTTCTTCTCACTTGATTCTTTATTGTTGGGACGTCTTTAGTAGAGATACCCTACCTTCCTATGTCCATTTACCCACTCCTTCCTTTGTGACTCTTGTTTTGCCCCCTTCCTCCATCAGGAGCTCCTTGCAAGTGTCGCTGTTTCCCTGGAATCATGAGCTGAAACAGCCTGCTATCAGTCTTTCCTTTCGTTGTTAGTTTCAAGTTTGTCTTAGTCTCACTCCCTTACATCCATCCCTGACATCACTCTCCCCTCCCTGTTCAGTTCCACTTTCTCTGCCTTCCACCTCTTCTTATCCTCCTTCTACCCAAAGTCCCTCCTGTCATCCTAACAGTCAGTGACCATCCAGTTGGTTCAGGTCATGTGGGGTCCTGTCTGTCCCAGTTTGCTTATTTGTGGGCTTATTTCACTAGTAACAAATGGGTCATTCAAGTCATGACCCATGGTCTAACCCTCCATTTACTCTCCTTTCCCTTTTCTATTCCAACATAGCCTTTCATCCCTCCTCAGTTCAAGCATACCTCCAATGTCTGGATGGGGCAGTTTTGTCAATCCATAGAGTGAGTTGCTTACCTTTCTCCAGGTTATTATTATTGCCTCTCTTTTGTCCCCATAATGAGCTGGTACTGGCTCTTGTTCATTGATTTATTCTCTATCAATCATATTTTTGGAAAGAGGATTACTTCTCTCTCCTCTGGTCTTTCCAATCAGACCTATGAATGACCAAATCTGATGGTCAGATGCATTCTCCATTGTCTGATAGCCCCTGCCTCATGACCTTACCTCAGGTTCATCCATGGGGACTGTGACTGTCAGTTCTATGTCTTTCCATTCAGAATAGCATTAACCCCCTATGTTTCTTTTATGTTATGAGGGCTTTTGCTCATCATTCCCATGGTCTGGGACTATGGTTCCACTTCTACATGGTCTACAGACTTCTCTTCCTTTCCCAAGTGGAATCTACAGATTACACATAACTTCTTCTTCATGAAACTACTTGCTTAGGATGGCTCATCTAAATTTCCAACTCATTCCTAACCCTTACCCAATATCTTATTCACCTCTGGATACTTTTCACCTCTCACCTCAGTCGTGCCCACCTTATCCTTCCTGTCTACTAGACCTCGTAAGTCTAGTCACCTAATTCTGCACCTCTCCTTCTCCATCCATATGTTAGGTTCTCTTTGGGGACTTTGGATTCTCTTGAACGTCTCATTCCACTCAGTTGCACTCATATGTGTCACCTCCAATGGGCCCTACGTGACTTATGGAACCTGTCCAGGGATCCACACTCCTCATGAGACCTCCTTCCTCCCGATTTCCTGGAGGACCTTGCCTGGTGTGTTGAATACTTGAACTCCACCACTGATGTTCCTTTAAGACCTAAAAAGCACATCTTCTCCTACTCTCCAATGCATCACTCACTTGATTGGGAGCATTCCCTATGACTCTCTCAACTCAAGTACCTGGAGCTCTAAAGAGTGTTTTCTCCACATCAGCATCCTGGTAATGCTTGCAGTCTTCCATTTATTATCCTTTTGGTGGATATTACGGGTATGGTCCACTTGAACAATTCCACAGTAGAGTCTCATAAACCATCTAGAGAGTGCCTATTCCAGAGCCCATTTAGAGGTGACCCATTGCACTGTCTCTAGTAAAAAACTTTTCTGGTAGGTGCCTAATGCAGATTCAGGCACATTCTATGGGTCTCTCTTATGCAAATCCCCACCTCACACACACTTCGAATGGAGTATGGGAGACCATTGCCATTTATAGGCTCTTGGCCATTAGGGTGGTAGACCATGGGGAATTCTCACTGATTAGAACCTAATAGTAGGGCTAGAACAAGTGAGAAGTGAGGGAGGGGGGTTTGTGGAATGTAGTGTGGATCACCCCACTTCATACTGATCCATCACAATCTCCAAGTGGATTTTGGACACATATTATTATACCCAGTTCTTATATATGTCTCTATTTATCATATTTATTACTACTGCAATGGCATGAACCCTCAGCATTGGATGGCAGAGTATATGATATTTATTCATGTCCAAATGTGATGTATCACTCACACACTACTCCCACAGCAAGCAAAGGGCCCATAGAATCTGATTGTTGAGTAGCGATTATATAAGTACACATACAACTTGTGTCCAATACGGTGCTCTCTTCCCATGAATGGCATTGGGCCAGTAGTGTCTGACACTAGAGGAGCTGTGCACTGATATATATCACAAGTGCCCTTCTCCCACAGCTGGTTTAGACCCATAGACTGATGGTTGAGGAGGTGTGCACACAAGGTACAGTCTAAACAATTCCAATCTCACTACACGTATTGGTCATCCTACAACTCGAGTCCAAGTACTCAGAAGATCATGTAAGTATTCCACCCATCCTTGGGACACAGTTCAGGCCTTTTGCCTCTTCTGTTCATAATCATGGGCAAAGAGTATACCCTGGATGAGATGAAATGCGATCTCCCACAGGTGTGCACCTACGGAGTCCCTGTCATAGGGTGACACACCCTATGGGCTTTCATCGGACACTTGCTGAAGGGAGCTCTTCTAGATCTATTTTGCACCAGTCCTTCCATCATCTCAATGTGGAATTCTAGCTTTGTGTGTACAGAGGTGAGTGAGTGTATCAGAAATTAACATATTCCTGAATTTAAAATGTATTTCTGATAGATACTTACCTCCGTACATGTTCCCACCTATCCTCCCCACTTTCCTAGTGCACCTTTATTGGTTGCCTCATCAAATAATGAGGATTTTTGCATGAATGTTTCTCTCCTATTGGTGGAAGGTTTTGCTTCGTGATATATCATCATGCAGTAGTGCAAATTCATGTGTTTCATTCTCAATTTAGATGGGAGTTTTCACAAGCCTGGTAACATGCAAGTTCCTGAGGCAGATAACATGATTTCTGTTTTCAGAGGTGTTTATTGGAAATACATTTTCAGTTAAGGAAAATGTTAATATTTAAAAAGTAATCACAATAATTATTTTTGAAGTTGATACAGCAAACCATAAACCTTTAGGAAAAAACTTTTGTTCCTTGTTAAAATAATTAAAAAAGTAAAACTTGTGCAAAAGAAATTGAATATAAATGTAAAGGAAATGAGAATTTAGAAAAATACACTTTCACTTTACAAAAAAATTAGAAATTAATATCTTGGTTAGACTTTGCATTTTGTACATTGCATATAAAAATTTGTAACAATTATACCTTAAAAAGTATCAGATTATTTGAAAAAATTGAGTCATTTAAAAAGTTCATAAGGTATTACAAAAACATTTTGTGAAGAACTGGACAGTGTGATTTGTAACTTTAATAAGTATGAGCTTACTAAGACAGAAAAACATATGCTCTCTAAATGTTTAAAATTTGCTCTTTTTCTCCAACCCATTGTTACTGAGTTTTCAGGCATTTTACATCTCATTCTTTCCATACTGATCATCTTTATCTTTGTAACAACTTTAAAATCCATAATCATATGGGGGGATTATTTTTCCCATTATTGTTTTTTGGTTTTTATTTGTCATCTGTTAAGATTTTCAAATACCACTGAGTCCAGATAGTATTAAAAGACTTGTTTCAAGTCATTTCCTTTTTTACTCTTGATTTCATGGTGCTTCTATAATGTATTTCTGTGTTGTTAAGAAAATAATACAATACTTAGAAACTTCAGCAATAAAGAATACACCAACAGTCAACCATGTGTATACTATAATTAGTAAAAATACTACTTGTCAAAAATAAACAGCAGATGCAAAACATTTCAAAATAAATTTACAGTGTTTTCCATCTATTAATATTTAGTTTTAACAGCAACATTATTTTGAATTATATTGTACTATCTTTGCAGGCGTTTTCAGGTTCTTCTTGTTCATGTGCACAGTATAGACTGGTGCTTTTCATTACAATGCAAGTACTTTTTCCAATAATGTAATACATTTCTTTTGAGTTTTGAAGTTTAACTGAAAACTAATTACTTTACTAAATATAATTAAAAACAGGCTTAAGAGTTGAAACCTCAAATAAGAGAATTTGTCCAAAGAGTGTATAAAAATAGCAGTAATTAAAACAGATGTAGCAAAGTTTTGTATTTCTTAACAAGATGTTTTATATTCTGTTTTTAAACTATTAGTGTTCTGATCATGACCTGGACTATGGTACTGAATGCCTTCACCTTGTCCAAAAATATATGGGTCTAAAACCTCGTCTGATAGAGGGGACTGCTGATTTGTGGAAGGTCTGTTGTTTCATTACTATATAGCACTGTATATACCCCATTGTTAATTATGTTTCAAGTTACTGGCTTAAATATTATATGTAGGTTCTGTTTTTATTTTGAAACTTGTACTTTTTCCTTAAATCAAATATACAAATCATTATTTTATTTTGTAGTCAACAAGGAACATAATTATGGTATGAATGATTTTTACAGAATAACAATTGTTATTGTAACAAATGGCTTATATAAGTAATGTTCTGACCACTACTGTGTTTGTTGTATCCCAGCCAGCATGAAGAGCTCTGGATTGTGTGAAATGCATTGTCATCAATGGATATGACAAATATAGTGTGGTTGGAATGCTGTTATACACTTTTCTAATTCTTGAAGATCAATAAGTGACTAGATATTGTTATGTATTAGAATTTCAAATGGTCTGAAATTGAGTTAACTGATAATTTAAATTTAATAGTTAAATTGTTTTTTGACTTAGTAGTTAAGTAAAAGCTGATATACAGTCAGTTTATGATATTTGCCAACAAGATTGATACACACAGTCTTCTTTTTTTTAACACAAATATGCTTTAATATACATTCAACAATACAATTTACAATAACAGTTATTACAAACAATCATTTATAAACAAAAGTTTCACAAACTTACAAGCAATATAAAGTCTTCTTTCTAGTTTTGAACTTCCTTGATATTTTATCGAGGGTTCACAATGAGAGAGTTGATTACGAGTTGATGTATGTACAATTCACTTAGTAGGGAGCTAGCTAGCCCTGTAGTTCTTGCTGATCACACGGTGATTACAGGTCGAGATTCACCAATAACTTTAGGTACTGTTTTTGTAAAAGTACTAATGTCCGATTTGAATCCACTAAAGTTGAATGATTTGTAATGTTTGAAATTTATAAACATTCCTGGTCAAATATCTGAAGTTCCCGATTAATAAGCGTTAATCACAGTCATAGCTTACAAAGTTTTTTAGCAAACTAATAATAGATACTCTCTTTTGGTGTGGTGCGTTGGTTATATTTATAGGCTGCAGAGGCTTTCTATAAAATTCAGATTACATAACAATACAAATTTAAGCATTTAGGTACACACATATATTGTTGATTT